TTTCTCTTTTTTGTATTTATATAACATCCTTACACGTGTAGGTACAGAATTTTGTATTTGCGCGCGTCTCATGACGCGTTGCGAACGATAATATTTGTCATGTCGAGGATGCGACGATAAACACTGTGGCCGAGCTATGTCTTTTGTGATGCTTATATGTATTTGCGATTCCGTAGACAAGTTTGGAAGGAAAAATATATTTTAATAAAAACTTTATATTGGAAGAAGCTTACGCAAATATTTCTATACAGAATGTGTTTGAGAAAATTTACTGTTCTATTCCTTACGATCAATTATCAATCTCGATTTGACTTCATTATTTCTTTCTTCTTTTTAGTAATTACGATTATAATATAGAGAGAATGATTTAGTCAGTCGCGATCGTTTTTTGATAAAATGGATCCTAAGATCCTCGCAAAGGAAGAGAATCTAAATTCGCGATCGAATCTTAATTAATTCGGTGTATAAGGCTCGGTGGGAATCAGATATTGGCTGCGGTTAACTTTGGAAAACTTGCCGCTAAGCTAATTGTAAGCCCATTGCATTTTACATGTCGTCGCAAATGAATTGCACGAGGACATACGCGCGTAAACGGGAAACGTAAATGTTCTTCACTTTGGTACGAATAAATAAAATTCACACACGCACGACCGGTATAATACTGTGTCCATATACAGAAGACTAAGTACCTTGGCAAAAGTACGTCGCCGGTCGTGTATCTCTCTATAATTAATTGTCTTTTTTTGTCTTCTTTTGGGCTCAGATCATCCATCCGATCCTCATGTTAATCCTTATCACACGATTAGCTCACGTGATATTCATATTTATTCTAAAAATTGCATTAATCGGTTGGTTCCATAATACCTTGTAGAAAGAGATCACTTTCAGCATGGAGTCGGTCCCGCCTTGTCAATTATACATATATCTATCGCAATGCTAATAACATAGTTAGTATTTATGGTACCAAAAAGCAAATCTTTCACTAGTTGATTACTAGAATCCTAATTTAATGTGGATTTTCTAGAAATCAATAAACAGTCATGAAACTAATGTTAATTAATTCAAGAGAAGCACCTTTGTCGTAAATCTGATAGAAGACAATTGATGTCACGATATGTTCACAAATCACTTTGATTACTTCCGAAATGAAGAATCTGAATTTTAAAAGCTTTAGTAGATCAAAATGATGAACAAATCCTCCATTTACATGTTCGTTCCCATTGCCCATTTCTCTCTCGTTTCACTTTTGATTACAATCATATTTTGTTTTCTCACCAACGAATCCGAGCTCAGATTCCTCACGATATTCTTCGTAGGCTCGATAGTTAGCAAGCAAAACATCGCCGGGAAAGAACATCTTAGGAGAATTAGACTCTGGGGATCGCGCCAGCAGGTAACAGGAGTGGCGCATTAGGACCGCTCTCAGTATGATTGGGCATGTTCTCGGCCGTCGGATATACCTGGTGCATGGAGTTGTTTGCGCTCGGCGATCCACTCGTGCGATTGCGGGATGGCGAGGAGTTGCCGATCGGCGTCGCGACAGTACGAGATGCGACCACCGATTTGGGCGCGCCATTTCCAGTTACGCAAGCAGGATTAACCGTTGCGGACCTTTGACCCTGAATCTGGTTCGTGGTCGACGACGGATTGGTCTGAATCGCTTGGCATCGCGATTGGGCGGTCATTAAACCCTGGTGCTGCAATTCTTGCGGTCTCTGTTGACCCGGATGTCCCTGCTGCCGCGGCTCCTGACTCCTCGACTGAATCGATTGCTGGGTCGGATACGGCTGGTCTGATTGACCCTGAAATTTGTGTTGTTGGTTGACGGACGAGAGCGCCCGCTGCTCCTGTTGCTTCGTCTGCGTCGTTTGAATTTGCGTAGTGATAGAAGATTGATCCTGAAGAATCGATATTTGGCCGACGGTCGTTGTGGGATTTGCCTGTTGCACATTGTTATTCGTCGGTTTTTCGCCCATTAACCAATAAGTAGTCATCGGACCTTTACCCTGCGAACATTGGCGAAAACGAAAGATTATTTTAAATTAAAATGATCTGATATTATTCTATAACATCCGATAAAATTTAATATTTTATAATATTAAATTAATTAATATTAATATTTTATAAAATTTCATTCAAAGTATATTTTTTTAATATAACATTCCTAGTTTATTTACTAAAGCTGAACTATAAAAATTTATATAATTAATACAGCTCTTAAATATTTATTACAAACAATGATAATTTATAGAGACGAGAAACGATTTAGTTGTGCTAACAAAATTACGTTATTCATAGTTATTTACGGTGATTAAGAATCAAAGTTAACGCAATAGGTACATAGTTCCAGAGATTTAATTAAGGTCGTCCTGTGTGATAGGATTCAATAACAAAGGCGAAGCTATTATATTGCTTTGTTACGCGATAGTGATCTGCGAATGCGTTTAACTCCGGCTCGTTCGTGAAATATTCAAATAAGCGGTAGCGTGTACAATAGCTGAGTGATATACGAAGTACTTGAATTTTAATTCTCGGTCAGTAGCCCCAGTACTATTACTATGCGCGAATTGCCGTGCGTATTTCCACTGACGCTATCTTACTAATTAATTGCATACCACCGCAAAGTTACGCGAATGCCAGCAGATGCACGCGCGCCCGTTCGAGCTTACTCGCGACCGCTGAACTTTGACCCGAATTGTACGGTAAACGATCCAATCACTCCATGGACGCCTTCGTTCCATCCTCCATCATTCGAGAAGGTGTACTTAATTGACCAAATCAATGATGTTTACGATTATGCGTTCAAGGCGAACCAATCGAATCACAAATAAATAGGACATCTGTAATAGCAGTCGCTTATTATTGCCGTTCACTTGAGATATTGATGATCCCCGTGATATCGGAATTGTGATCTCGAAACTATGGTGCGTCCCCATCGTGTCATCCGCTTTATCACATGGACAGTGACACACTGGACGAACTACTATAATTTCGACGATGCGACGTCGAAATTGATTGCCACCAGCGGGAATTGTTCTCTTCTGGGAAAACGGAGACAGATCGCACCTGTGGACAACGGGCGACGTGATGCACATGATGCATGTGTATTAAGCAAGAGAGCATAACGCATTCGGTTATGGTAGAGCACCTCTGAATATGTAACGAGAGAAATGCGCATATAGAAGCTAACCGCCGGATACGATTGCAATTTACAATTCACGATCCTCCCGGAGGTGTAAATGTGATTTGTCGAAGTTGAGAAAGTCGAGCCCCTTGTTGAAGGATCATTGCGTTATGCGTTAAAAACTGAAACCGATAATATCTGATAATCTACATAAATGTTTTATAAAATATAAATATCTATATGCATATTTATTATATAAATATTTTATAAAACGTAAAGCGTTAGAATAAAATTGGAGAGAGAGGTCTCATTCACCATTCTAAAAATTGCAACACGGTGCGAAAAATTCATATTCTATTAATTTATATTTTAAATATATTTATCTTCATTACAGCAGAAGGTAGCCAACCTTCACAAAATTATTTTCAATAGCACTTCTAAAGAAACACGCTGTTAGAAAAAAATTTTGAAAACAAAAAAATAGCACAATAAAATAACACTATAAATTATTTAAACAAACTATAAAAAAACTATAAAACAAAACAAAACATAATAAAAGAAGTCTTTTTACTTTTAAAAGAAGAAATTAAGTGTTATGTTTTTGAGTATTAAGTTTTTTTCTTAATTTTGCAGCAGAATAACACAAAAATCTCTATAATAACACATCAGATAAAAAGATTGATTACTCCTGGTATAATATAAAAATAAATTAGAGATATTTTTAATAAATATAAGCATCATAAACAACTCTGAGTTATTGCAATGGAACGTTTTACTTCGTGAGTATAAATAAAATCTTTCATTAAATTGCGAATATGAAGATTAACTTGCAAAAAACTGTACAAGGATGTACGAGAACAAAAAAAAGATATACATTACCATCACAATCTGCAAAACGAGATCGCAACTGAACTCGCGCAATGATCATTTTCTTCGCTAACATCTTCCGTCACATAAAAAAATCACTTGAAAGTTTCACACAATACAAACTTATACGGATACTTAGTTTTTTCTCTCTCAAGGAAAAAAGCAACAATTGGATTCGGGCAAGATAAAAAGCCAAGTAAACAGAAACGTATTTCAAAATTGAGGAAAAATCGCATTTATCAAGAACTTACCTTCAATATAACTTCTCCTCTGCAGACGAGTTCGAATGTGCCAAATGTATCTAGGATTTCCTTCGTCTTCGGGCTGACATGAATCTTCAAAGCTGTCGCAGAAAAAGGAAAACGACTTGTTTTACGCGCGTCCTGTAATCCTCTCACAGCGCTAATTCGGAATGATTAAGATATATTACGTAATTAAATTATATCACGTAAAATGACCAATTAAGGAATATTACCAAACTATATAATTGCTTCGTTTATAAACATTACTTTTCTCGTACATTAAGATTTTACATAATTATCACGACAAATTTTAATGTCTTTGAATGACGTTTATCGGATTTATTCTATATACGGAGTGTAAAAAGTATACATAAAATAACATCTCGAATGATTACCTTTTAAAGTTAATTATTCAAACATAATACATATTATTTTTTGGTATAAAAATTTTTTTAAGGCATTTATTGATTCTTTTTTTTTATCTTTAGAGAAATAAATTTATGGAATAAATTTATTTCTCTAAAGATAATGTATCAGATTTTAGTATTGTTTTAATTTCATAAAATTAATTTCAGCAAGAGAGAATATATTGTACTTTTTTCCGTAAACCGCTTTAAATATTGAAATGTGACATTTAACAACTAGCGAACATGAGAAACAAAAATTAAAAAAAATGATTGGACTGAAATTTACGCAGAAGAGCTTTTTCAAGTAATTGTGCTTCACATGAATAAGCTCGCTTTGAACCGCTCGCTTCTGATGATAGTGCACTTTAAAGACTAAATGTAGTTTTAGCACACACATTGTGTGTGTGTGTGTGTGTGTGTGTGTGTGTGTGTGTGTGTGTGTGTGTGTGTGTGTGTGTGTGTGTGTGTGTGTGTGTGTG